GGGGGAGCCTGGACAGCCAGCAGCGAGGGCTTGTCGCCGGCGTGGGTGCGCTGGTGCCGGTTGAGGTGGGAGCTGCGGCTGAAGCATTTCCCGCACTCGGGGCACTTGTAGGGCTTCTCGCCGGTGTGCACCCGCTGGTGGATGGTGAGCTCCGAGCGCTGGATGAAGCTCTTGCCGCACTCGGAGCACTGGTAGGGCTTCTCGCCCAGGTGGATCCGCTGGTGCTTGATGAGGTTGGAGCTGACGCTGAAGCACTTGCCGCAGACGTTGCACTTGTAGGGCTTCTCGCCGGTGTGCATGCGCCGGTGCTTGGTCAGGTCCGACTTCTGGATGAAGCCCTTGCCGCAGTCGGGGCACTTGTAGGGCTTCTCGCCCAGGTGGGTGCGCTGGTGCTTGATGAGGTTGGAGCGGACGCTGAAGCTCTTCCCGCAGTCCCCGCACTTGTAGGGCTTCTCGCCGGTGTGCATGCGCCGGTGCTTGACCAGGGCCGAGTTCTGCCCAAAGCTCTTGCCGCACTCGGGGCAAGTGTAGGGCTTCTCGCCCGTCTGCGTCCCCTGGTGCTTGACGTTCTCCGCCCGGTAGGTGAAGCTCTTCCCGCACTCTGTGCACTTGTGGGTCCTCTCCGCCGCCGGGGCAGGCCGGGCGCGGGAGCCCCACAGCAGGCTCTTCCCGCAGTCGGTGCACTTCCCCGGGCGCTCGCTGCTCAGCGCCCGGCGCCGCTTGGCGCTGGCCAGGAAGCTCTTCCCGCAGTCGGTGCACTGGCAGGGCTGCTCCGCCCCCTGGTGCACCCGCTGGTGCCGCTCCAGGTGGGAGCTCTGCGAGAAGCTCTTGCCGCAATCCCCGCAGCGGTAGGGCTTCTCGCCCATGTGGATGCGCCGGTGGCGGTCCAGGTGGGAGCTCCAGGCGAAGCTCTTCCCGCAGTCGCCGCACTGGTAGGGCTTGCCGGCCGCGTGGGAGCGCTGGTGCTTGGCCAGGGCGGCGCTCTTGTTGAAGCCCTTGCCGCACTCGGGGCACGGGTAGGGCTTCTCAGGGGGGGCGGCGGCAGCGGTCGCCCCGCGTTGGGCACCAAGGCAGCGGCCGCAGTCGGCGCACTTGCAGGCCTTCTCCCCGCCCAGGTGGGTGCGGCGGTGCCGGTCCAGGGGGGAGCTCCAGCTGAAGCTTTTCCCACACTCGGGGCAGGGGTAGGGCTTCTCGCCCATGTGGATGCGCCGGTGGCGCTCCAGGTGGGAGTTCCAGTTGAACCCTTTCCCGCACTCGCCGCACTTGTAGGGCTTCTCCTCCAGGTGCTGCTTCTGGTGTTTGACCAGGCCGGCGCTGGCGCCGAAGCTCTTCCCGCAGACGTTGCACTGGCAGGGGGGGGCGCCGCCGGGGCCCGGGGGGCCCCCC